ACTAAAGGGACACAACAATAGACGTTTCAACACTTAGTAAGTGCTAACTCAGGATAATTCAGAGTCTATCCACAGACAAGATAAATCTGAGATTAAAAATATCACTAGGGGAAAAAAGGACTATGTAGCTGATAACAACTGTGACCATTTTTTATACTACTGTTATACATTTTAATATACATACAGTAGGGAATGATGAGTTCTTGTTGGAAATTAAAGATGAATTTAGTAAAGTGAGTGACTGAATAAAAGACACATTTTATCAACCCAGCAGCACTTGAACATTTACATCAATTTATGATTGATCTGCCAAATAATGTAAAAAATGAAATGATTTTGATAAGGCTCACATGAATTTGCGGTTTATTTGAATATTATTGCTGTTATCAACAATGTGTTTTCTCAGTCACTAATGTGGGATAAGATTTTCTTCATTTAGAAACTTAACAATTTTACTGACCTTTTAATAAAACCTTACTTTATTGGTTTTCTCTGTTTTCATATATAGCAATTTCTCCAGTCATTTTTATTTCCTTTTTCTGCTCACTTTACTTTTAATTTTCTCTTCACCTGCTAATTTCTTGACATAGGAAAATAAAATATTTAAGACATTTTCTTATGACTATTATTTTAGGACTATAAATTTCCTTCTGGACCATATTTTTACTTGCATTCTATATATTTCAGTATACATTTGCTTTCATTCATTTCCATGTATTTTAGAAACTTCCTTAAGACTTTATTTTTAACCATAAATTATTTAAAAGTCTGCTGTTTAATTTCTATATATTTAGAAATTTTGTCTTTTATGCAGTGATTTATAGCTTGATTTCATTTAGGCCAAACAAAATTTCAATGCCTTAAAATTTATTATTTTGGGGCTGGGAGATGGCTTAGTGGAATAAGTGCTTCCCTGGCAAGTGCAAGGGCCTGAGTTCAATCCCCGATTTGGCCAAAAAATAAATAAATAAATAAATAAATAAATAAAATTCATTATTTTTTCTTGGCTTTCCCAGTATAATTAATCTCTCTCTTTTTTTTCAAAGTTTTATTGATAAACAGATAGCAATGAGACAGTTTCAAATCCAATTGGAAGTACAGTTTCAACAAATAATACACTGCATATATTCTTCTTAGTGGTTAATTGATGTACAAGAAGTGGACTTGTGATCCTATTTACAAGCACCATTAGAACAAATCATTCTATTCATTAAGAGAATGCAACTATATATCTGTCCTAACCACTTGGAATACACAAATACAAAATGGACATTCATCAGTATACCCCATTTTTTCTAAGTTCCGTTATTGAATATTATAGGTGTGTAAACTCAGCAAAATATTCTAAAAGAGTCCAGTAGCCCATAATAGCATTGGGTCTTCTGTTTAACTGGCAATGTCAGAAATTATTGACCTGAGTCCCCCACAGCTCAACTTAACAGCATGGCTTTATTTCCTATATTTCATCTTCATACTTTTCTACTGGATGGTTAAGACCAAGGTAAAGCAGGACCTGTGCAACAAGAGTTGTAGCTTTTTGGTCTGAGAAGGTCAGTGAAATGTCTTCAAGATTTATCTTGAGATCCAATCTCTCTCTTAATAACTGCTTGATAGTATTATGAAGAAATGTGTATTCTGCCATTGTGGAGGGCAGTATTCTGTCTGTCAGTTACATCCTGTTCATTCATTATGCTTCCCAGTTCATCTGTATATTTTCTGTCCAGTGGTTCTACAGTTACCCAGAAATAACTATTGAAATTGCATGAACAGTTACAGCATTTATGGTTTTTTTTTTCTTTTCAGCCCCATCAAGGTGGCCTCATGTTGAAGCTCTGTTGTTAGACACATATATATTTAGAATTGTTATATCTTTACAACAGGTTGCAGTTTTGTGATCATATAATGTCCTTCTTCCAATACCATCTTTAAGACATCATATTGGAAACTCGAGAGTGCTAGTATTTGTGTTTAACTTTCAAGTATAGTTTTTAAAACCCATTGTACATACCCAAGTTTCTTTGATTTATTATTTCTTCCTGATATTCTATAATTTCTTCTTTTATTACTTTTTTCATTGAATTTTTTTTTGTATGTTTTAGGGAAGGGTCTGCAGGGTGTTCAGGGTCTCACTACTATGTTGGACTCATAGTAATCCACCTGTTTACAGCCTCCCAAGGGCTGGGATTACCCGAGGGCACCACCGTGCCCAGTCTCAATTGCTTCATTGTGTCCCGGGGGGCTGGGGCAGACACTGCAGGCCTGGGGATTGAACCCTCAGACCCTGTGCCTTCTTGCAAGTGCTTTAATCTGCTGAGCTATTTGGCCAGCACAAATAATTTCTTTCTTTTTTTGTGTGTGTTACGGGGATCGAACTCACGACCTTGCACTTGCAAGGCAGGCACTTACACCGCTGAGCTATCTCCTTGGCCCTTCTTTGAGTAATTTGATCTAGCTATTTTTTAAGAATTATATCTGCTAGCCATAAGCTCTTTTAGTTCTCATAAATATTTAAATTTTCTTTTCATCATCAAAGAAAAAATTCAGACTATAAAATCTGTGCTCGATTTTTATCAGTTTTGTGTAGATTTTATATTTCTTGTTTTAAATTCAAAGTCCACGTTATAAACTTCATACAATTTGCTCTGAAGCTTTACGATTGAGGGCATCTGCATAAATGCTACAAATAAAATACATATCTCATAACCTGTGTCTATCAGGCACAGACAAATGGGATT